TTCTGGAAATGTAAAAATTTGCGACTTAAATATTAAAATTTAGTCGTGAAAATATTGTTGCTTATTATAAAAAGAATAACACTTTATTCAGAATTTTTTTAAATAGAGAAAAACCATATTCATTATAAAACTAAATAATTAATAAATATGTACCAAAATTTTCATTTAAATTGGATAATTACCTGATTTTTGGTAATTAAAAATAAGCGCTGCCTTTATCCCAAAATTTTCCTTCGAGGATTTGTGGCTCCCAGGTTGTGAAATCGACATGTAGTAGAGAGGGTGGGGGCGTAACAAAGTTTCGGTGGGTTGGCCTCCGAGACCCTAGCGCCGACCCTGTAATACACCCGTGAAAATTATCTTGGATGAGATTGAAAGTACTTGGGAAAATAAAAGGAATGAGAAAAACTTCGTGGTTTTCCTTAATGTGTTTAATGACAACATTAAGAAACTGATCCGTGAAGATATATATATATATATATATATATATATATATATATATATATATATATATATATATATTATTTATTTATATATGTTAATAAAATAGTGCTTTATTCAGCACTTGAAAGATTGAATTGTGCATGGAACTCTGAGCCCGGCTATGGGTGAGGATATATATATATATATATATATATATATATATATATATATATATATATATATATATATATATATAGTTGTTACGAAAAACTTGGTAATCTGTGTGGGTAGTCCCAAGGAGGATGAAATCCTGAGAGCTCAATGTAAATTCAGAGCTAATAATTTAAAGAAAAACATGGTAATAATTTATTTCAGCAGAGACCTTTTAAAGGACGCTGGATCATCAGACATCACTTCCAAAAGGTGAAACGAATATATATATATATATATATATATATATATATATATTACTTCAAACATTATTTTTAGAGTATAATAAGTTTTCTCCAGTGTTCAACCCGATAGACGTAATACGCACTGTTTAAAATTCTGTCTTCAACTGTTCGCTTTCAATAATTTTTCTTTCATTTATATGGAGTTCATCTTTTGTTGAAGCATGTGAGAAGAAATAGCTGCTCTTGATCAAAACTTTTGAATATACCAGGTCATAAATGCTACCTAGAGCACCATTTAACCAAGTAGTATCTGCCGCATAGTCAGATTATCGCCGACTAAACCAGTTCCTCCACCAACCTTTTCTGGTGAGGTGGGTAGCGAGTGACACAGCAGAATTAGAAACAAAACTTGTCCATAGACAGCTGCAGCCTGTGTAGTGATAGAATCAACGGCCACGTGTCCGTGATTAAGGCGAGTCTTCAAGTTGGAGGAAACTGGCTATTGTATGACCTGGAGAGGAATAGACCCCGCCAGGTTTATGATAAGTACGAATGAATAAATCTCCGTCTTTCAAACCGGATATTATTGCTCAGGCGCTCAAAAGCGCAGTGACCCTATTACTACGCACAATTATGGGACTGATGTTGATGTTGGACAACAAGAGATAGATCATCTGCAAAATCTTTTTCAATGTGGGGAATTTTAATGCATCGACCTCTGGTTTCTTTTAAGGTAAACATTACTTTTTATCATCTTTAGTTGCATGTCTGCTTGCGTTGTCAGAAGTAATGATGGACAATTACTACTACTACTGTACTGATGCGGCATTCACCCTGGGCGGATTGAGCCGGCTTCTTCCTGTTATGAGAAGATTCTTGGGATAAATTACAGAAGTAGGGTACCCAGGCCTACTCGAATAACGTTCTTGCTTGCCGCGGGATTCCCACAGACGCAGAGACAGGAACGACCAGAAGCCGCCGGTTACCGATGGACAATTAGTCTGGTTTGGTTGATTTTGCTTAGCGGCACATCATCTCTATGGGTTATTTAATACCGAAATCTAAAAATTCTGAACACACTTTTATGCCTTCAACTAAAGATATTTTGTACATAAATTTGTACTTTTCGGGTAGACGCATATTTTTTTTAGATATATAATTTATAGATCATAAAATGTATTGCTGGTATTTTTCATAAAAATGTATTCTGGTATGGTTGCTATAAAAAGGCATTTTTATCTTTCCTAGCTTTTTGATTCTAGTTTGGGGTTCACTGTTTGCCATAGGTGAGACCTTTTCACCGCATGTCAGGGTGGACTGGGAGCAAACGTCCTGGGTATGATGAGAAACTACATCCGGCAGCAAAACCTCTGATCCGGAGATTGAAGGTTTTGTTGCGTGGAACCACTTCTGTATTGCTGCTGTTCCCACGTACACCCTGAGCAGGGGTGGTAGCACCTGTTAGGGACCCAGCTATGGGCAAATATTTAACCACCAAACATGCGTCAAAACAATATGAAAGTGTAAAAATACATTTTTATAGTAAAAATACCAGCAATACATTTTTGAAAATTACTAATACTCCAAAAAATATTAAATTTCGGCATTAATCCTTTGAACCCTGGCCGCCGCTTTATTAGTCGTAGAGAAAAATGACGTAATGCCCAGCCACTGATTGAACAGTGGTAGAGAAAAATGACGTAATAGCCAGCCACCGCTTGAACAGGGATAGAAAAAATGACTTAATCCTCAGCTACCGGTTGAACAGTGGGTGAACACTTGTAACTATTTTTATATCTAACGTGAAACATTACATCCCAATTATTTGCGAATATTGACTCAGGAACTTAGGCAGACGGGTTAAAATTGTACAAGAACGCAGGGCCCAAAGCGTTAAATGACCCATAAGATATTTCGCTAAGTAAACAATCAAGCAAATCTGGGATCAACAACAATTTAGAGGTGGTTCCGCGCTACTCAAACTATCACGATCAGACTGCTTGCTGCCAGGTGTTGTTTATCGTCATACCCAGGACTACTCATTGAAGTGGGGTCTTATCCTTCTGCGGGGGTACAGTCGGCGTATTCTATAGGCTCAGCCGGTAGGGCGAATAGACAGGTTAAAATAGACAGGATACAGCAATAGATCATTCAATGCAGACCAAAGATGTTCCTTATCGGCTAAAAGTTTTGGCTCTCTCTCTGGATTTCGAAGAAACGCTTAAAAATTGAATGGTGTGTGCCATTTTCAAAACTAATTTTTTTTCCTTACAGTATTTAGTATTGTTGAAGTTATCGCTAAAATATTTTGTCGAGATTTACAAACTCTACGTTTCGTTCACTTTCGCATACCAATCGATAAAATTTGAATAAACTGATTTGTTTGGAAAAATGATTTGACAAAATCTCAATTTCGTTGTTTAATTTAATTTAATTTTATAGGACTTCATGGCAAATGATATTTTTTAACAAAATTTCTTTTTTTTGTTTTTTTTTTTTATTTTTAACAGCAAAGAATAAATTCTAACGTTTCTTACTCCTGAGCAGGCAACATACAACTGGCCATGCGTAAATATTTTATTCTGGAGCCAAATTCTAAATTTTTGGAGCATTTGACCTTGTGATTTGGTTATAGTTCTTGTAAACGCTGGGCACTGGAAACTGGATTCTTGTCTATATAAAAAATTAAGAAACGATATGCAAAAATAATATTACATTTTTATTAAATAAGTATTTGTTATTTTAAGCATTAAATTGCTTTTAAAATAGTGGGAGTATTTTGTATGTTAAATAATAAAAATTTTAATTCCCCCCCCCAAAAAAAAAGAATGAAAATTTATCGTACTAAAATACGCACCCTAGTAAAACCAATTGTACCTTGTACCCCCTTACCTGTTTGCACGTCTCCTCAAAATTTGGTTTCGATCGGTCAATGTGTGCCTAGAGGGTGTGAGGGACGGACGGACAAACGGAAGTCACAGAATTTTATATATAGACTTATTGTCAGCTTCGAGTCAGAGGGATTTTCTCTTTCTGAAGGATTTTATCATATTTTCATTATTATTATTATTATTTTTATTTTCTTTGATTTCTGACGTTTACACATTTCTTTCCGGGTCCCGCCCAGGGACCTAAGGTTAGAAAAGCGTCATGACACTTTCCACTGACAAAAAAAAAAAAAAAAAAAATACATAGATAAAGCATTTCGTAAAGTGTGGGCTGTACTTGTGAGAACAATTTTTTGTATCTCTTTGAGGCATGGATTTCCAGGAATCCCTTCAATTAGTCTACTGCAATATTTTCCAACCAGTCCTAGGGCTCCAACTACAACAGGGATCGTTGATGTTCCCATATGCCACATTTTCGAGATTTCTATTTCAAGGTCCTTGTACTTTGACAACTTTTTGAATATCTTCAAAGATACATTGCAGTCAGCAGGGACTGCCATGTCAATAAGGAGGCACCGTTGTTCGTGGTCTTTAATAACAATATCTGGCCGGTTGGCCTTGATTGTTCTGTCAGTGTGTATTGTGTAGTCCCATAGAATTGTAACAGGTCCTATCTCCGTAACCGGGTCTGGGTGGTGTTCATACCAGTTTCTTTCAGTTTTCTTCCCGTAGAAGTTGCAGATTTAGTTATTATTATTATTATTATTATTATTATTATTATTAATAGTAGTATTAGTAAGAATAATAAGGAAATTAACCCATTGCTACGCAAAGTTTCCTTAAAATTTTACCTCTTTTTGCCTAATCTACCTTGATGGCTAATGATAATCTTAGGGCTGGCGGATTTAGAAGTTTTTTAAGCCCTTGTCTAAAAGACTGTAAGCGATGCACTATTCGGTTAAATAGTTTCAGCATTCTAGTTTAGTAGGAGTTAATTAAATTAAAGAAGGCATAAAACTTTCAACAGTTCAGCCTCTTTAATCCGGCACAATTATTGCCGGACCACATAAATGCCGGATGACGAAAATCACCGCTATAAAACTCTATGTAAACATAGTCTTACCAGCTCATTCCACATATATATTGCTGTGTTTTTAAAGATAGAACAAATCTTAAAATAAGAAATAAAACAATCATTAACGCTTCCAAACAAGTTTTTTTTGTTTCATGTATGGATGTTATGGCTATTAGTGCTGGGTTGATTCTTTCACCTAAACATCCAAAAACTTGTTGAATGCCTTCGTCGCTGAAATCAATAGACAAAGAAAAGAAGGATACGGAGACACTAGAGGGACAGTTTAGGACACTGATTTTATTTCCTTCTTCTGGATTCCAACAAGCTCTTGTTGGGGAATTTCCTTCCCGAACAGTTGGCACGTGTTCACCAGTCAAAGGTCCAACAGAGAAAGAGATAGATTCTTCTAGTTTATTTTTGGCGCCAGGAAATCTCTCTCTTTATTTTTTTTGCACATGCGTAAATTGTCTTTCCGTCAGAGGACTCCTGGGAGATTTTAAGGTTTATTTTATTTTGTAATTTTATTTAATTTTGTATTTTTATTTTATTTTGTATTTTTATTTTATCCCCACACATGCAATTAAAAAGCTGAACAAAAGCCTAAAGGAAAATATAATGTTAACATTCTACCGTGAATGGTAAATATGCAGCTAACTATTGTAATTTACTAAGTAGAAATTAGATTTGGCACAAGGCTGAAAGTGAGGATCGAAGTCACTATCTAGTTGTAACTGATATGCCGAGACAAGCATGTTAAACATTGTACTACGTTGAAATTCTCCTGTGCATCTATATATAATAATTGAGCAAGACCGTATCATCAAAACACTCTGCTGCTGTCGGCTGCTACGGGAAGTTGTAAATAACGTGTAGCGCTGCCCTCGAAATAGTTCAACGAAATAATGGCGGTTGATTAAAAAAAGCGCCAGACCATGAGTGTTATTGGGCCACAGAGGATTAAAGATGTCGGACTGTAATTATTAAATCCAAAGAGTGGCCAACAAATTTTGGTCAACGGTGTAGTAATTGCAAACGGGTAGTTGTTATGCGGATTCCTTGATTGTAAAAGACAACAAAAGCTCAACTAAATTAAAATAAAAATCGGAAAACATATATCGCCCTAGTGAAATAAATGAAAATAATAATGAAATAAAATGTACCCCTTATTTCTACGATAATGGAGTGATTGAAATTATCCAAAAGAATCTAGCATAATAAATAGAGTAACGAGAGATCCGAAGAAAAAACGAAATCATATTGACGAACATCATTGCTGAACACTTATGGATTAGTGAAGAGATTTAATGTCATTTGATATCCAGACAGCTGGTGTAAATGCATGAAGAAACAATAATAATAAATAAAAGACGGGGAAGAAGAAAAAGAAGAGAAAAAAAAATGATAAAAATGGAATATGGTGAAAGAGAAATTGTCGCGCCTGTCAGTATATATTTATAAACTTAATGTATTTTTTTAGTCGGCTTGATTCAAAGGTGTTCTTAAGTCTTTTGTTTTTATTCACTTTTGATTGTTTCTTTGGGACGTTATTTTGAATTTTATTTTATGTTTGTTTAATTTCCTTTCTTTTCTTTTCTTTTTTTTTTACCAAATAATTTATTTATCCATTTGTTATTCAGATTAAAACTTTTTTCGTTTTTCACCCCGCCCGTTGCTTACGTGATGTTAATAAATATTGACGTCCATTGTTAATGATTTGGAGCCGAGATGAACAATTTATATTTATTTATCTATACATTACATAGTGAACTATATATATATATATATATATATATATATATATATATGTGTGTGTGTGTGTGTGTCTATGTTTTTATGTGGTTGGTGTTACACAACCTCACATACATACATACACACAGACACACACACACATATATATGTGTGTGTGTGTGTGTGTGTGTGTGTGTGTGTGTATATATATGTGTGTGTGTGTTTTTGTGTGTATGTGTATGTATGTGAGGTTGTGTAACACCAACCACATAAAAACATAGACACACACACACACACACACACGCACACACACATATATATATATATATATATCAAGTATGTGGTGCAGTTCAATTTACATTACATGAATCATTCATACAAAAAATTTAATTAAAATTTATTAAATTTGTTTGCAAAGATGTATTCTCGCCATTTATATCATTAACTTCAATATCTGTTTTTTGTATGAATGATTCATGTATATATATATATATATATATATATATATAAATATATATATATATGTGTGTGTGTGTGTGTGAGGTTGTGTAACACTAACCACATACAAACATGGACACACACACACACACACACGTATACATATGCGAACAAGATATTTCTTTTTGGATTTAACTTAAATTGTTCAAATAATTGTTTGTTCCCCAGATTATTCTATTATTCCAACATAATAAAGACAAACCTCTCAACAACGGACTAATAGGGGAGGGGTGGTCCGTTAAAGCCGATTGTCCGTAGTTAGAAAGGGATTATTTTTGAGTTATAAAACCACTATAGTAACTACCAGTAGTTATGATCATAATATAAATACTATAAACATGCATATACGGTATAAATAAATATATACTTAATATAATTTTAATCAAAATAACAAAACTAATAGATTTCTCACAGTTACTTTCTCATTCAGGCGCTAATGTATCGTACTTTATATACTGTACACCCATCTTTGTTTACAATTGAAAGGCCAGCCATCGCCGCCAAGCGGTCACTTTGAGAACTAATACGACTCGTTCCGCTGAACCAGCCAATTTTGAAATACGTCACTGGTGATTTGGAAGTTTTTTTTCCTGCATAATTTTTAAAACTTTTGCCTGCAGATTTTGTCATTTGCATCCGAAGTCCGTTAATGGGGGTGGTGCCGTAGTTGAGAGGTTTGTCTGTACACCCATCTACAGAAACCACTTTAAAATTATCGAAGCAATAATAATAAAAAACGAAGAAACCAACTCTTTATACTATCAGTTATGAACATGGCCATAATGTGTTGATTGTTTTCAGGAATCAAAAGATTTCTATTTCTATAAAAAAATCTAAATATTCAGAAAAATAAAAATACCCCTTTGATAATAGCTAACGGATTATGCGAAAGTGCTCGAATCCAAATATTATTTTGGCAGTTCTTACACACTCTACGTCCCGAAAAGAAATCCCTTGTACGAATGCAAGAAAACAATAATAAAAAGCTCAGTCGGAGTGCCTTGTCAGCCATCTTCAATGAAATAAGATCGAAATCCGTAAGTGAAAAATATGTCGGATTAATAAACAAAAATCCATTATTTCTTTAGAAATTGCTTTGTTTACGGTTCGGATACAAAACTGGAGTATATATGAAATTTCGGGAATCTAAACGAGAACGATATGCTTAAAAGACAGTTATGTGCCATGCATGATACACGTTTAGGCTATCATGTATCTTTCGATATATGACTGACGAGGCAATTTTCACCCGCAGTAGGTTGCCATTTCTTTCTGCTGTAGACCAGTTACCATCCAAGGCTATAGAACCCGGTCTCTCCTGCTATTTACCCATAGCTGGAGGAAGAAGAAGAGGATTCATACCTTTCCCATGTGAATGTAATGGATTCGACTGGAATTCAAACTATATTTAATCGACGTTGCCTTTCGTGGCCTATTCGGTTAAAAACACGTCGGATCTAACGGATCTTGGAAGCACTTATAATAATAACAGAACGTCAACGCTGAATAACATCAACTATGAACATGGTCACAATGTGATGACCGTGTTTGAAAAACAAAAAAATATTCCCATGATTCTAGAAACATATATAAAAATCTACACATTCAGTTAAAAATTAAAACAAAATCGATGATAATGGCTAAAAGAATAGCCGAAAGCCTTCGGATATATAAGACATTTGGTTAATTTGTTCCACCCTTCATGTCCAGAAAAGAAAATACTTATACGAACATGAGAAAAAATAAAAAGGTTAATTGCAGTACCTTGTCAGTCGTTTTTAATGAAACTTATGCATATATTATGAAATGGAGACAATTATTTTAAAACATTTTTACGTTTATACATTCTTTTTATAGATACAAATATTTAAGTAAATGCTCTGTTTATAATAAACAGTATTAAACAACACTTGCTGGTTATATGACGGTTCCGTATAGGGTACAGGTTCGAATCCTGTCGGAGGACGAATATTTTCTATGAAGATTTCTCGGACATTCAGGCCGATAAATGTTGTGAGATGTGTTTTTGTGTTATTTTGAATAAAAGTAAGAACGTTTATTCCGAGCCTTCGCATGTTCAGTGCCGCTGGAATTCGAGTGGGCGTTTTTCTATTAAAAAAAACCGTTCAAAACACTATTAACCTCACTTTCTTCAACAGTGTTACCACTGTTGAAGAAAGTGAGGTTGACAAATGGGAGTGAGATGTATATATATGTATATATATATAAAAATAGTTGCATGCGATATATATATATATATATATATATATATATATATATATATATATATATATATATATAAAAATATATATATGTTCTTCGCTTCTAGCAGCTTGGTTGGTATAAAAAAATTTTTTTCCTTCCCTGTCCATTCATTCATGTCATCCATGACAGATTTTTTTTCTTTTCCTCATAATCCTTCCCCGTTAACAGTTCTGACGAGAGGGGACGAAACCGGTCGACTGGTGTGTGTTTTATTTTAAACTTATCATGGCCTACAATACAAAATTTCTAGTTTTTATTTTAATATATATATATATATATATATATATATATATATATATATATATATATAAATATGATTCCATCGCGACACAGAATCATATTTTTAAAAATAAATATAAAATTTAGGCTCTACTTATGTATCGAGCACTGTTTTTTAAAATAAAATACTAAAGAACTTAGGATCATCAATCTAACAGTTCTTTCCTATTACATCAATACACACACACACACACACATATATATATATATATGCGTGCGTGTGTATTGAACGGAATGATAGTGAAAGACATGTTTTACGGAGAACTTTCCTTTCGCAAGAGAGGCACACGGTCAACCTGATCTTCGTTCCAATGTTCTTTTCAAGGGGAGCATAAAATTATTGAAGGAAATTTGAAACAATTATCCTCGCTGCCGGCTTGGAGTATATCGAAAACTAAACAGGAGAGAGACTTACCTAAGAATACAATAGAAACACAATGTCGGGAAAGAGCTCTATCAGGTGCAGTCGTTGCGGTGGTGTGTGTCACTTTTATGTGGGACACGACAGATACAAAAGGAAGAGCACTATCAATTCAGATCAGATTTTGCAGGCGCAGATACAAGATTCCGTAATTCAAACGCGTGTCACACACTTACATATGCATGAACATATTGTAAGAAAGAAAGAAAGAAAGAAAGAAAGAAAGAAAGAACAAAAAAGAGAAGGGCCACAGAAAGGAGGAGAAAAA